GTTTGATTTCCTGGAAAGGGAAGAAGAGACAGAAGTTTGAGGAACGCTTTATTAGTAGGGACCAAAGGAATAACAATGCGGTTAGAGAATAAGTAGAGGATTGGATTTAGAGAGAATTTGTGATTAGGGAAGAGAGAGTATTGATTTTGTGTTTTACAGTTAAACATAGACAGCAGGGTTTTATTGATAATAACAATTGTTCTATTTGTTTCTTTTCCCCATAGCACAGCCGCCAGCGGCGCCTTCCCTTGTTACATTATGGTTACAACTTTTCATTGTTCTTTTTTTTTGAAACCGGGTCAGCCATTGGGCCTTTTGGCCCAATTCCACTATCAATATCCCCTTATCTATTAATAAAAGTATAGTTACAATGAATAAATAATTTAGCTTAGTGGCATGACCTGTATTCTGCAATCAAGGAGGTACGAGTTCAATCCCATGCTAGACATTTTTATTTTCGTTTTCAGCTCTCTAGCCTTATTTTCCAATGATATTAATTTAGCTTATATTAGATATGGTTTAGTAATTTATCTTCTTTAGAAAATTAGTTATCTTCTCTTTATTTTTATTTTTTAATCGTCTTAATCTTTTCGAATTAAATATTTCATTGCCTTTCTTGTTATTAATTTGTTCGTTTAAATTTATTTTCTTGCGAATTCTTGATTACTTATGTTGTGATGTTCATCTTATTTTTGATTTGTTTGCTTCTACTCCAAGGGAAAGAATTAAATTTGTTTACTTCATGTCATCAAATATATCTTACACGATCGTGTGAATTCCTTCATTCATTTTGTTTTACTATTTTTCTAAACTTAAGATAATTTTCCTAAAAAACTCAATTTTCGAACTCACGCCTTTTAAGCCAAAACTTCGACACTAGGTCGTCGTATCTTCAAAGTATTTTCCAAACAAATCATTCTTACCAAAAAATAATTTTAACCAAAAACAGATATTTCAAAAGGTTCCTATAGAATACTATAGATACATTGGGTGCTAATACCTTCCCATTGTATAACCAACCCCCGAACTCTAGACCTCTTTTTCAAAAACGCCTTGTATTTTCATTACTTTTAAAGTATTATTTTACATTGCATATTTTAGGGTTTTATTTCGCTCTTTTCCCTTTTCCCTTGGAAATAATAAAGCGCGGTGGCGACTCTTGCTTTTGTGAGACAAATTAATTAATAGTTCGATCTCCGATTTACCCCGCTACATTTTTATCGCTACAACCTTAAACTAAAATCTCATGACGAGACCTTTCACGACTTTGAGACGAAAGTTTCGGTTCGTAAAGAGGCTCCACCTAAGGGAGACCCTTGTGCCTTTTCCCTCTGGTGTTATTCATGATACCCTTAAGGAAACCACCTCCTGGGAGGGTAGATTTACCGTAGGTCAAAATTAAGGAGCCTACATTATAGGGGTGCCCATCACAAAAAAAACTGTCATAAAATCTCGTTACTCAACCCAACACTTATGCATTCATGCATTCATATATATCTCATGTTCATCATTTGTTTCTTTTATCTGTCTTATTCACAGGGTACAAAATAAAAAGATAACAAAATCAAGATTTTTGGTGACTGTCTTAAAAATGGATACCAAAGGGAAACAACTTGTCCGCGTCAATGCCTACAAACCTGGCCTTTTTGAAATCAAAACTATAAAGGGTAAATCATCCGAGAGAGCTCAGAAGATGTACGCTCGCCGCTATGGGGATACCCTTTACTTGACTAAAGTAGAGGTACAGATGGATGCAGTCTCTGCCCTAATTCAGTTTTATGACCGTCCATTGAGATGTTTCACCTTCCAAGACTTCCATCTAGCACCGGCTCTGGAAGAACTTGACAGAATCCTGAATTTTTCCAAAGAAAAGGCCTATGTAGGTATTAGACAAACTATTGAAGTCAAAGCTTTGGCAAAAGGCCTAGGGATACCCTACCCTGAATTCGTGTAGAATTACCAAAGAGAAGGTCCAATACAAGGAATCAAAAGGATATACTTGGAAGCTAAGGCACTAGAATTTTCTAATTATAACGAGTGGGAATCTTGTGTTGATTGTTTAGGGCTGTTGGTATTCGGTGTAATCTTATTTCCTTGGACTGTGGACTATATTGACCCCGCGACCATTAGCATATTTTGGGGTGAGAAAGTCTTTAATATGGATCCTACTCTCCCCTTGCTTGCTGATATTTATTACACTTTGCATATGATGTATGAAAAGAGAAGAGGCACACTAAATTATTGCACCCCGCTTCTGTATACTTGGTTCATGACTCATCTTTACAAGGAAGACTATATGGTCCCAGAATTAACCAGATGTGAGTGGCCATAGAAATTAAGATCTCTCACTGCAAACTCCATATTATGGTATGCAAGGAAGTTGGATATTGGTGACATCACTATTAGTTGTGGGGACTTTCCTAATGTCCCTTTGATTGGATCACGAGGTTGTATTAACTACAACCCTACTTTGGCTCTACGACAACTAGGGTATCCTTTGGAAGACAAACCTTCAGACGAACAACTTCGACCATTTATCATCCACAATATGGGTATAGAAGACCAAGGGTTGCTCAACAAGGTTATTCGATCCTGGAACAAAGTTAACAAAAGGAAGGCCGAAATAAAGAATGCCATAGCAAAAGAACCCTACTCCAAGTGGGTCCAGGATAGGGTACGAATTATCAAGCTGCCATTCAAAAAAGATCCAGAGTACAAGTCAGAGGTCCCAGAGATAACACCCATATCTATGGAAGAAGTCGACAACCTGAAAAATGCCTTGAAGCAAGCTCAAAAGGAGAAAGAAGAATTGGAACTCAACCTCCTCAATCTGACCAAGGAAAAGAAACAAATGCAGATTATACTTGAGTCAGAAGACAAGAAAATTGATAAAAAATTCAAAAGGAATTGGAGAAAGAAAGTCTCAAACGAAAGTGTACAACCGAAGGGCTGTTAAGTGCAACGTTCAACCTAGATTATCATAACCAAAGGTTAAAAGAGGCTGCTGCTGAAATTGGGAGGTTAACCAGATGGTACAAAAAAGCAACACATGACAAGAAGGTGCTAGAGGAAAATTTGAGAGCTCAGATCCAAAGTTTGGCACAAGCTTCCTTAGATCAAGTAGAGCAAGTAAAGTACCTCGCCACCGAACTCCAAGACAACAACGAATCAGAGGTTAAAGCACGCCTTAAAAGGGTAGAAGCAGAGAAACTCCTGACTCAGAGAACTCGAGAATATGAGCATGTATGTCTAGAGCTACACGATCTTCAAAAGGATTTCCTCATTCAACGAAGGCTTTACACATAAATGAGGGGCGAAAAGATGTATTGGGAAGAGCAGTATACCAAGATCGCCCAAGCTGGGAGGGATAACCATAAGATAATCTCACATCTTTATCAGTAATACAGGTACTACAAAGACAAACATGAAAAGATCGTCTTCTTAGCCAACAATCTCATCGAGGATATCCCTAGAAGTTTAAAAGATGCAGAGAATGTAATGGTTCCTCTTTCGAAAGACGTTGAAGACTTTCTACAGCTTTGTCGGGCAATGGTTAATGGATTCAGAGCACACATCCGCAAGTGTTGTACCCCAATTTCCCCCCCTAAGATCCCTCAGCATACTTTGTACATTTCACACATAGCATTGGTCTCATGGTTATAAGATCGAAGCGCTTTGGCATTACAATTTCTCTCCCTGAATGGAGGCTGTCGTCTTGCTTAAAATTGATTCAACTGGCACTCTCATTTTTCTCGGTATGAGATTAGGTTTTTGGATCTCAAGCAGCATATATGTCTTCGCTATCAGGTATCCTCAAGATACAAATTTTTTCTTCATTCAAGGTCCTTTCAAGGAACAAAGATATTATGGCATAACTCAGCCAGAGAATCAGGATTTCTTTTCATGGAGATTTATTGAGTTAAAGTCTCACTTCAAGGCCACATTTAACACTAATCTTCCCTTGTGATGCTATTTGTTACCTGGTTAAGGATTGATTGAAGATTTCATCAAGATGATTCTTGGTGCTTAAGCTGTGAATTAAGGTAGGATTACTTCCCAAATTCTGATTAAATTAAAGATCCAAATTAAGGGTTTCGTTGGGGGTGATTTGAAGATTCGTTCAAGAAATTACTTTAAGCCTAAATTAATTCAAGAAAATTCATATAATGGTTTGCGTGGAATTCAAAGATGGTGACTCAAATATCATTTGAAGTCAATGCGAATTCAAGTGAATATTTTGGCGCAATTGGTCAAATGGATCTATGTTTCGAAGATGGAAGACTTGTTCAAAACTTAATTCAAACATCATACTGGTTGGTTTCAACTGGGGTTCTCATTGATCATGGATTAAGGGTTTGCTTCCTTATGCTTGGAATTATCAAATAAATCTTGGATTTGTTCTCAGCACTTGGGCTTGTTCATCATGTGAGGGGTGGCTTCATTGTTACTTATGATGCAAGACGTTCAACTAGACTTCTTTCAAAGGGCTCTAAATTCAGACAAAAAATTCTTGGAGCTAGTGAAGTGAGACATTTCTTCAGTGTGTTAGCACTTATCTTGGGGATTTATGGTTTATTTCTCTATTCATGTGGTGGTCAAGAGGCTCGTTGGATAAAGGCTTATTCCCTAAGCATGAATCGGTGCAAATAGGTTTCTTTGAGGCTATCATGTGGAACACTTCAACATTAGGGCTTCATTTGGTGTTGTCATCCATTGAAATCTGATTCACTTGATTATTTGGGCTACAAATCAGTACTTTGAACCTTATGCAAGAATTTGAGGAGACATGGTGGAATTAGGATATCACATCAAGGTTTAAAGGTTCTAACTAAAGTCCTTCTTAAAACTTTTTGGGCTTTTATCTTACCATCATATGGTTCTTGCCCAAAGCTTGCAAATTTGAAGTGGAAAACGAAATTTCAAGTACAATTCCGAAGGAAAGGAGTTTCAAATGGCGTGCACTTATTTTCCCAATAGGGAACAATGTCGACTATTTGTCCATGTATTTGAATGCTGCAGATTCAACTAGTTTACCCTATGGTTGGGGTAGATATGCACAATTTAGCTTGGCAATTGTTAATCAAATCCATAATAAGTTTTCTGTGAGAAAAGACACGCAACATCAATTTAATGCACGAGAAAGTGATCGGGGTTTCACATATTTCATGCCTCTTGGTGAATTGTATGACCCTAGTAGGGATTATCTTGTGAATGATACTCTTATAATTGAAGCCGAGGTTCTTGTTCGTAAGATTGTTAACTACTAAAATTATGATTTAAAGAAGGAGACCAGCTATGTTGGGCTTAAGAACTAAGGAGCTACCTATTATATGAATTCTCTACTCCAAACTTTGTACCATATTCCTTATTTTAGAAAGGGCTGTATACCATATTCCAACAACTGAAAATGATATGCCATTTGGAAGCATCCCTTTGGCTTTGCAAAGTTTATTCTACAAGCTCCAGTATAATGAGAACAGTGTATCAACAAAAGAATTAACAAAGTCTTTTAATGGGATACATATGATTCATTCATGCAGCATAATGTCCAAGAACTTAACCGGGTCCTTTGTAAAAAAACTTAAAGATAAAATGAAGGAAACTGTTGTCGAGAGAACAATACAAAAGTTATTCGAAAGACACCATATGAACTACATAGAGTGCATCAAATTGGATTACAAATCAACTAGAAAGGAGTCATTTTATGGCCTTCAACTTGATGTCAATGGTTGTCGTGATGTTTATGGTTCCTTAGATAAGTATGTTGAAGTTGAACGTCGTGAAGGGGATAACAAATACCATGATGAACAAGATGGTTTGTAGGATGCTAAGAAGGGTGTTCTGTTCATCGATTTTCCTCCAGTTTCGTAGCTTCGGACATTGCTGAGCATTTAAGGGAGAGGCCTGAAATATCAAACCAAGAAAACAAGTTAGTTCATAAAACAATCAACCGATTCCCTAATCCAATAACCAAACCTTGCCCGAAGCCTGTAACAAATCCAGAACAGTTTTTAACAGCCTGTGACCATATCCTAATAACCCTATTTAACAGCCCAAACCTCCAACCCTGCATAACTGAATCCTAACTGTTTTTCTAAGCCCAACAATTCTAACAACTTGTCCTAACCATTTTCTAACAGCTTTTCTAACAACGTTTCTAATTGTAACCAACTTCTAAACTTCCTAACTAACTAACAGAACTCCTCAACAGAAAACAGAATTTCAATAACAAAAAAACTAATTTCTCTAACTAACATCTAACCAAATCTGAGCTCAACTCTAACCTCCCAACTGTTTCTAACAAACTTCTAGCATAACTATAACAAACTTCTTTGCATCACCCTGCATCAACCTTGAAGCTTTTGTTATCAACCAGTTTGCATAACCTTCATGAATCTCCATCAACTGTTTTCATCAACCCTCAACAATATTCAACAGATAATAGAAAAAGATGATGGGGATACAATTATTCAACATAGTAAATCTCAAAAGGAAACTCACCAAGAAAAAGCACAAGAAACTTCTCAATTCGTCTTCTGGCAATTTCTGAAACTGCACAATATCACTACTCGGCTTCAATCTTCATTGGTCATCATCATAACTCTTCACACACTCTGAAGATTCACCAGAAAAGATAGAAAAATGACAAAATACGCACCTTTCTACTCTCTCTCTCTCTGCAATTCCTCAGATCCTTCATCACCTTTAATATTCAAGCTTCAACCTTCAATTATTCAATCTGATAAGAATCAACAAAAAACCAGAAAAAAAAGCTTCTTGGTACTTTCTCTGAATTCAGCGCAGCATCATCAACTTCCATCTTCATCCATCTTATGAATCCCTGCACCTGTTTCATCACCTTCATCTTTGCGACATCTTCAATCTTCACGTAGTTTCATCATCCTCTTCAAACTTTCAATCCCAACACTTCTCTGCGTCAAAGCAGAGCCATACCGCAAACTCAGAAAAACGTAAGAAAAATAGAAGAAGAAGAGAAATATACAAATAAGAGCACATCAGAAAAGTGACGTAGCGAGGTACGTGTTGAAGATGCACCAGGCGATACTCAAATAGGTAAACAACGTCTCCCAATTTCCTTCTCCTTTTTTCGTCATTCTTCATATTATGTTTTAGACTAATTTTCACCGGGCAAAACCCTAAGGTCGCAGGCATAGATTTACAGTTATTGCTGTCTAAATTCAACTTTCGTTTAGATTTAGGGCTTGTTGTTCTTGATAAAAATTGAAAAGCACGACTTAAGATCAGAAAGAATGGATGACATATTTGGATATAATAGAGAGATACAAAGGGAGAAGGATAAGGTGTGGTTGGCTGTTGTGGCTGGAGCGTGATGAAAAACAGCGATGAGATGACGGCGAAAGCGATGGACTGAAGAGAAGAGCTATCGCTATTGTGTTGATGAGAAGAGAAAATTTGTTCTCATGCAGATGAAAGGGCACAATTTTCTTAACCCTATCCTTTTTAACGCGTTCCACTTTTTTATTTAACGTGTTCCACTTTCTTAACCCAGTTTCAATGCTATACCCCCTGACTCAATTTTTTTTTGTTTCCTTTAAATTTATTTTTGTAATTTTTACTAATAAAATTAATAATAAAAAGACAATGGAAAATAGTAGAATATTTCATAATTCTTTATGGCTTTTCTTTAGAATTCTAATTATCTTTTTTCCATGTTTGTTAATCATTTGGTTGCCTTTTTTTAGAGTTTGTGATAGTATTGGAGCAATTTTTGTGATGTGGAATGCTCGAAGATTAACTCGTTTGATCACTTGCGCGGAGCAGCTTCTTTAGAGTTTTTTCATTTCTTGCGTGACTTCGGATAGGCAATGGACCTTCTCTATTAGTTTTAGGTCAAAGGAATTTGAGGAAGCTTTTCGTAGAGTTTTTTTTATCACTTGAGTAGCTTCGACGAGGCAACAAACCTTCTCTGTTAGAGGCAACATACTTTCTCCATTAGCTCGCGCGAAGTATTTCGGGGTTTCTTTACTTTGGTTGCACTCTTTGCAAACGTCATTGTTAGTTTGTGTTGTACCCCAAAATTTTCCCTCCCATATTTCTCAATACATTTCAAGTGAGGTCTTCAAATTGTTCAAGGAAGTTCAAGAGTTGACCAGACAAACTCTCTCCTAAGGCAGTCTACCTCAAATTAGGGTTTCATTTTGCATCAAGAGGCTTGAGTCCAAAGGATCCCAAATTATCACCATTGTCCTAATATGTTCTCAAGATCATCCATGTCAAGTTTCAAGCCTTGCAGAGGAAGTTTGCTCAGTCAATTGCTCAAAGGCCTGAAAATCGACTATGCTAGGGCAAAAGTCAACTATGGCCCACATACAGTAAAACTTCAAGATTTTTGGTCAACATCCTCATTTTGAAGTATTATTCTTCATTTGATCAAGGTTTAATCATGATTCCTCAAGGATTGCTCACAATTCATCAAACTCCAAAAGTTGCTAAATTAGGGTTTTGTAGGAAAAGTCAACTCAACTTTGACCAAGCATAACTTTCTCATACTTTATCAAAAATGACTCATCCAAATCTCATTTTGAAGAGGATATAATTCCCTAAAATCCATCTTCAACTCCCAAGTTCAAAATATACACTCACAAGAAGATATGAATTTGGACATTATAGGTCATTTTGAAAAGTCAACAAAAACACCTTTTGGGTAAAAGCTTCATACATGAACATGGAAGACTCAATTGATATGAGACCTAAAGGGTTGCTTAGAAGACATCCTAAGATTTCTAAAAAGTCAAAGAACACCTATCTAGGGTCAAAATTGAGAGAGTTATGAATTGGCAAAGTTGACCCTTTTTGCAAAATTGCCAAAAGTCAAAAGTGTCCAAAATTGCATTTTTTGCTAAATGGGCCCAACATTTTATGCTTGCACTGAGTTTGTAATGTGATCCACGACCCATGAGCTCTTCCACTTGTCATTCTTTTATTTTTGTTATTTATTTTGATTTTATTTCAATTAAATCAAATAAAATCAAAATAAAATAATGAAAATATCAAAAGCTAATTAAATCTTGAGATTTTGTGCATGATTAGGTCCAATACACAGCTGGAAACAAGATCAAGTCGTGCAAGGCTCATATGGATACAAAAAGATTGCATTTTTCTTGATTTGGAAAGATTTTTCACAAGGATCAAATCATGAATCAATAATCATAATTGGAGAAGATTTGAAACAAATGGCAACCCTAATTCATTCTTGGATACATAAGGAACAAGTGCAGATCAAAAAGAGAGAGGTTGGAGGCGTGCAAAGAAGAGAACGAGTTTCAAAAAATTCAAGAAAAGTTGCAAACTGATTTCCAAGTTTCAAGCCCTCTCAAGCCATTCTAACCACACCAATCGTTTGTTGGACATCCAAGAACCGTGTTTCAATCATTAGTGAGCTTCCTCACGCCTTGAAACGCCATGTAAGAGTCACATGGTTTCCATATTTTCTTGAATTCGAATACGTTAATCCTTGAGGTGTTTGCAAGCTAATGGTTATGTTTAATTGCATTTTTGTTGACTGTATATCAAGTTGCCATGGCTAGGGTTCATGCTTCGTTTTTAGGGATTTACTGTACATGAACAATTGGCCATTAATAATGGTACCATGATACTCGTGAGGCTGCAACGAGTAGATTGGTACCATTAGTTTTCATTTATCATGCTTGTATGAGATTTTGGAAAGGCACATGGTTATACCTACACTCAGCATCCGTAGGTAAAAGTCATGAAATTTATAGCAACGGTGGGAGGAAGAGGAAGAATACATGGCGCTCCATGACTCGTCCATTTGAATTTCGCGTGTTTCAAAGTTTGGTCTTTTGTTTTTATCATATAATATTTATTTGTCATTAGTTATACAACTAACACAACCAGCTCAGCTGGCAAGCGTGCAGTGGGAGAATGCCTAAGGGCCTGGGTTCGATCCCCAGGTCCCAACTTCATTTCATATTTTTCTTGGACAGACAATCTAGTGTATCTCACACTCTAGGATCCATCATGCACTCTCCAGATCTGATCATCCAAACCACCAAAGCTTCAGATCTAAGGCCTTCCCATGAGGATCCACCATACGCCTGAGTCAAGCAAGCACATGGGATTGGAAGAAGTCAATGGGGCCAGGAATTGTTGGGCCCAGATTTGCAAATAACACCCCCTCCTTTTGCTAATGTCAGGCCCATTCTCTCTCTTTTCTTTTTTTCTTTTATTCAATTTAATTTATTTAATTGTTTTTTTAACAAAATCAATTTCTGTTTTCATAAAATCATAAAATCAAGTTTCACAAAATTTAGAATTAGCTTTTTTATTTTATCAAATTTAATTTAATATTAGTTTAAATTTAAATTAGGATAATTCTAACTTTTTTTTATAATTAAAATCAATTAGAAAAAAATTAGGGTTAACTCTTGATTTAATTTTTTATTTCTTTTCTCAAAACAAAAAAAATACAAAATAGGTTAATTTAATTATTTTTCTTAAATTTAAATTAATTAGTAATTAGTTTTTTTATTTATTCAATTGAACGTTATTTTCTCAAATAATACAAAAACGACAAAAAATGGTTTTTCTTGTAAATTACAATTATGTAGTTGGGGTTAAAACCCTAAATCTCTCGTTTTCGATTCATCGCGCACGTTTATTATTTTTGCAATATTAATGTAACTGCTCATGGTATGTAATAGTTTAAATTAGGATTTTCTTTATTTATCATTTTTACGGGTTTTTGGCTATGTAATTAACCCCTACCCCGAAGCCTTGTAATAGCGTAGGTTTTATTTCTCGCATTTTAATTCTCGCAA